AACCCTACCTGTGTGAATGCTGGTGAAAGTGCAGGCTGGAGGGCTTTGCAGCTTGTCACAGCAGTACAGTGTGAGAGGGAGCCCAGGCTGGTGGGCCAGGGGGTTCAGTGGTACCCCAGATCCAGAGGGCATCCCGGGGGTAACCCATCACAATAGTGTGCCAATATTTTTAGTGTTCTTACTAAATGCTACCATGATCTGGAATTATTTCTGGAAAAAAAGCTAGTCTGAGTCATCAAAACCAATTTACAATGTAGCAGTATTCTGCTTAATTTTGTTCTCTTCAGGCTCCTGCTCCCCATGTTTCAGCAAGAATAACAGACACTTGTGCGGGATGGAAGGAGGAATTGTAAGAACAAAGAAAGAACAATAACATCAATAAGAACCAGATGCTTCAGATGAGGGGGCAAGCTGTGGAGAACTGGGAAGTATTTGGATTTAAAAAAATAAAATATGCTCCTCAGTATATCTGTGCCATACTATCCTGCCTGAAAGCATAGTTAGATCAAAAGAGGTTAGTACAGAAACCACACAGAAAAGGTAAAGCCATAGCCTGTATAAGGAGCATCCCCTCAAACATAATAGCTGTGAATAAGGACAGTTAGCCCCAAACCTGGAGACAGGTCTGTTTGCCATGGCTGAGAAGAGGGAGCTCAAAAAAACACTGCTCTGTTAAAAGACTTCACCTACAAAGAAGGAGGGAGGGGAAAGGGTTGTCTACTACTACAGCCTGACACAGAGAGACTGACTGAGAATCAAGAGTCTGCAGCAAGGCTGTAACATGGTCCCCAAGAGAACGCCAGGGCTAGGTGCTGGAAAGGAATGGCAAGCATAGGTGACACCATATGTGTATAGGTGTCTGTTATTTTAAATCCATTTCTCTGAGTGCTGTGTACCTTTTGGCAACACAAATCATACTTTGTTTTGGAGAAACTGCTTCTGTGTCACCGCAAGCTGTTACTGTGCACAAGGGGCTGATGGGAATCTCAGCCAAGGTGCCAAGCCCACTGGGCCTGCTAGGTATCACAGATGGCAACCAGAGAGCCAGTCAGACTGACTGGATCATGGGGTCCACCACAGAGGGAAGTGGAAGCACTCAGAGGACTGGAAAAGGATGTTAGAAGGAGCAGCCTACCCAAGGACCAAGACACAAGCAACCTTGGAGTAGGCAGATGTTAGATAATATACCCCTCACTTTGGGACTCTTGCTAATCCCCTAGTAATAAACTAAAACCAAGGTTTTTAAATAAAGAATTGGGGCTAAATTTTCTGCTGGTGTAAGTGGGCATTGACTTCAATGGCGTTCCACCTCTCTACACCTCTCTACACCAACAGAGAATTTAGTCCTGGGATTTTACAAATTCTATTTAGTGTCAATGTATACTGTGAAGTTTAGGGGGAAATCAGACTTAGGCTTGACAATGTGACTACTACATTTTTGACTTCTTAAACTCTTCACATTTATTCTGAAATTTCAATTGTTAGGATGAGGCTCATCTTAGTTGGTTGATGGAGTACTTAAAACAAAAATCTAAATTAGCCAAACCCATAGGATGTGTCTAGACATCAGTGAGTAACTGTGATGTGATCCTGTTACTGTAACCATTCCTACATTTTGTTTGTCATCCTCACTTGTTATGGTATACCTGAAGCTAGATTGTAAGCACAGAGGTGCTATAAGGAAAAATACATTAAAGGGTGTGAGGCACTCATACTATATAATGGGAGTGACATGAGTACCTAAGACACATAGATGGAGGGACTGATCAGTAGTAAGACTCTAAGAAAAATAGGATAAAAACATAATGGAGGACTATGATTAGTAATGACAGGTTTCAGAGTAACAGCCGTGTTAGTCTGTATCCGCAAAAAG